ATTTTGCACATTCTTCAGAAATTCTGAAGTCTTTTGGCAACCGCTCATGTAATTTTTAAGGGCAACATAACATATTTTTAAAAACTACCAATATGTGATAGCTGCACAGCATTTTTCATCATTGAAAATGGAGAAAAGAAGAAAATGTGAATGAAAAAATATCTTAAAAAGCAGTGATCCAGATCAGTTTTCAAACATAAAAGGCTGCTCATCTGGAAGCACAGATCATGAATCAATCTTCACTCTCCTTAATCTAGGGAGAATGGACAAGAAAGGAGATCTCCATCACAAAACATAAACACGCCTTCTCACTGTAACACTCTTAATCCAGACTGAACTCAATCATGGCTCACATCCTAAACAGAAAATCCAGTATCATGCATATAATTAAGTTTCATTAGTAGTGGGAATTGGTTTCTTCTGCCTTCTTCCATCTCAGCGACCAGAAATTGCATTTCTAGAAAGCTTCAACCTATTTAGGTGTCACCCAACATTCTTTGAAGGACATGAGCAGGATGGAAATAACATTCCTATGCTAATATTTCTATAGGGAAACAAAAAGTCAACAATTTTTGTGGGTTTAGTAATCCATGCCGTTTCCCATACTTGGGAATTGCTTCCATAATGCTACTTTACCATTTAGCCTTCAACCATCTAACTAAAACCGTCAAGAACAATCACAGAACTGACAGGAGCTATGTAAGGTACCAGCCAGTACTGACACATTGTTTCTTTGTTCTGTCCTACCTCTACCTCTTAATCTCCCTTAAGCCACATGTTGCCTCACATCCCCTTACTGAGTTTACAGGATGTTTAACGCAGGAACTGTATTCTTACCCTGTATTTCTACAGCTGGGTTCCTGGTCAAAATGTTGTCCTAAAACCATGCTCTCTTTCAAGCACTTTCACATTAGATATGAGCAATAACAATCTTTCACACACCTTTTCAGTATCTTTCTGAGGTTTCAGGATGAAGTCTTCCACTTAGGTAAAAAGCTAAGCTGATCTGACTGGCAATGTGTCTTTCACAATCACTGTAACTGAATTTCAAAGAAGGCTGTTAATGCTGAACCTCTGGATGACTTGCAGTAAGCTAAGTGGTATTTGAAATAGAGAAAAGCACTTTTTTAGAAGATTTTTATCCCAACAGACAGTATTTTAAAGCACAGAAGTTTGCTACATAAATTCTTTTAAGCTATTTTTAAATTAAATATGGTATTAACATGCAATTTAGTAATAATCACTTTAGTCCAGAAACTAAGCTCAGATTTCGCATCTGCTAAACTATTTTTAAATTAAATATGACATTAATGTGCAATTTAATAATAACCACTTTAGTGCAGAGACAAAAACTCAGATTTCACATCCCCAAAACACATAAAGGCCCATACCTTCTGTCTAATGCACACTCAGGAGTGGCTATTTTTATGTTTTAAAAGCTCTAGGAAATACTGTCCCTGTAAAAGGATGATGCATTACCTACAACACCATCTAGGAAACTATCACATGATCCCACTTAAATCCTAGAAACATACACCGCCGTATCGACATAATTTCACCTTTATAACCCATTAGGCAAGAGAGAGACCTCAAATCCACCTAGAACAGATGTAACTCACAACGGCATACTGGATTTACATTATGACTTTCTACTGATGGAACTGCATGTGTTGCCAATTTGAATCTAAAATCAGAGCTTTAATTTCACAGTTATGTGGGTCCAAAAACTTCTGCCACCCTTACTATGTGAGCTGGTTTAAAAGACTATCAGATCAAAAGAAAGTAACCTGGCTTATGTGTAGCGCAGTGAGAAAATAGTGAAAGCACAATAATGTTAGTTGATTTATATAGCTGTCACTCATTTCTTCTAAAAAAATTCCTCTAAACTTAAAGGGACAATCTTGACAGTAGAATTAATAACTACATCATAACAAAGCATTACAGAATGCATTCAGAGAGATTAAATATCGAGGAAAGACTGATGACATAAGGAGCACTAATTTGGGGAGTAATTTCCCAAGGGAAGTCCAGGAAGTCCAACACTCAAGACTAACCAAGTGTAGCAGTTTTACACATTACTGGTAATTCATGCAGCATTTCTTCAACAAATCATGATTTTTAAACATCACAGTCATGAGAGCATCCTGCTAAGATCTGTGCAAGGGAAGTACCAGACACTCACAAAGTTCTGTGTACATGAATGAACCCATACCCAGATATTTGCATCTTATAGCCTAAAAATACAAATAAAGGGGAAAGAAATGACCATCTGAAAACCTTTTAAATACTTTTAAACCCTGTACAATGTAAAGTTTAGGATCATCATAGCATTTACTCTTTTGATCATGACATGTCACAAAGTAATCACAGAATGGGTTAAAAGGGACCTTAAAGATCATATGGTTCCAAATTGCCTGCCATAGGCAGGCACACCTTCCACAGCTCTTAGCACTAATGTGTACAAAGAGGAAAGGATTTAAAAAATACCATAGCAAGGTCAGAGGGCCAAACATCAAGAGGCACCAACATTCACCTATGACAGAAGTGGGAGAAAAGGAACAGAAAGGTCCAACAAGAAGGTGAATTTGCCTTTACCAGCCTCAGCTGAATATTTATGACTGCTGGCCAGCAGTTTTGTATCAGGCTGGACCACTCTCCCATGACTGACTGCCTGCAGGTTCAAGATAGACACTCTACTAATTCTGCAGGACAGATACTGTATTTTACTGTATGGCTTCACAAAGAGCCTGGTATTTACTGAGGCCTCTGTATGCTAGCATGCCACAAACAGGAGCCCGGGACACAGAGACATAATACTGGGGAATTCTAATTTGAAACAAATAGCAGCTGCAGTTACCTGAAAGCTAGCCACAGTAGGAAAAACAAACAAACAAAGCCAAAGCAATAACTTTAAGATTCAAAGAAAATAAGGGATGAAGAGAAGTATTTTGTAGATAAGAATGGTCAATGGAAGAGAGCAAACTAAAAAGCATGCTTTGCTCTACCAAACTGAGAGTAACAGAAAAGCCAAGCAAGAAAAGCTGAAGAAGATTAAAATAGCTCAGGAATTTGGGCAGGGGCAAATTAGACAATTTCAATAGCATAGAGTGTAAAAATAAGATTGCAAAAGGCCAAGAAGGGAAGAAGTCAAGGCAAAGAGAACAAAGAACACATTTCAGAAGAGCATTCTTACACTGGAGAGGCCAAACAGCACAGCAGTTAGAAGCACATAGTCCCTATGCAAATATCGTATTAAAAAAAAATAAAAATCAGGAAAATATTAACATATTTTTAGGCAAAAGCAGTCTGGTGATTGACCAAAAGAAAGGTGAATTTATAGAAAAAATCAGTTAGAGATTGGAATTAACAGGGCTGAAGGTAATAAGCAAGAACGAAAGAGTAGAGGTAAATCGATACATCGATACTGACATCAGGGTTACATGAGGCAAAAAAAAAAACCTTAGACAAATTATTGCAGGAAATGACGACGCAGTGATCCTGGGAACAGGCTCCCTCTTTCCCAGCACAAACAGATCGCTATTTTCTAAGACTCTAGAGGGAGGAGCCAATAGCTACAGGATAGGAAGCATCCAACACTAGTTCAGCAGCTTCAACAGTTGAAATCCTGATCCTGTAAATAAATTATTTAGCTTTCTAAACCCCAGTAATTCCATTAAATCTTAGCGTGACCACACACATTAGCAAAGATAAATACATGCAAACATAGTGGATGTAAGTCCACTCAGTTAAGAAAATACAAACATACACAGGGCCAGGACTTTAACAGAGAGAAAAAAGGACTGATCAACTGAGACAGCTAAGAGCTCAAGTCCCTCTCCCAACACTGACCAAGGCTTCCAAAGGGAAGTTCAAGAAAGGCTGACAGCTTATTCCGCAACTTCCTACCAGGAACGGACACATGCCCCCACTTCATAAATACAGAAGAGTTCAATTCCTTCCCAATGTTCCCCAGACTGCAACACTGAAATTCCAGATACCTGCCTTTGCCCACAAAATGCAGAATGCTCTTTTCTTTGGGGAGAAGAAGCAGGAAAATCCCAGCAGCCTTTCAGCCTATTTGCTTTTATGGTAATTACTGTTATAGGACAATTACATACACCGCACAAAAAAGGAAAAAAAAAAACAACAAACCCAAATATTGTTTCTTTGTACTTAAAAATCTTGGCTTTCCCTCTGAATTATTTTTTGTTCTTTACCTTTCAAGGAGGTAACAAAAAAAAAAAAGGGGGGGATAAAAAGTTATTTCCCTGCCCCTATGCTGTTTATTGTTTTGAGTATCTTTTACCATGCTTTTAGTCATCACTTTTTGAAAGCAATTAACTCCACTATACCAGTGCATCCCAATAACCACTAATAACTACCACAGCCTTTACCACATAAAGTGACCATAATAAAACATTGCAATTTAGGGGGAAAACAGAGTCTCTCAACAACAAAAAAAACCAACAGATTATTTCTTGTGTAGCTTGCCAGGCTACTAAACATGCAGACCCCTGACGCCTCTATTTTTTACCAATATTGCCGCAGCCTGCCCCCCATTCGGGTTGGGTTTTTGCCCGAGAGGAGGGGGGCGGGTTTAAACCAGCAATATTTCCGCTCCGCCTCTCCCAACTGGCTCAACAACCACACCGCTACAGCGGTCCCCCCTCCGCGCCCCCCGGGGCCACTGCCCCCCCCCCCCCCCCCCCCGGCGGGAGAACCGCGGCCGCCCACGTGGGCTCCCTCCTCGGCGGTGAGAGATTCCCCCTGGGAGCAGAGGCGCCGCGGCCAAAGGCTGAGCAAAGTTTCGTGGGCCAGCGCCGTGCGGGGCGGGAGGAGCCCTACTGCAGCGCTGTCTCCGGAGGCCGGGGCGAAGGCAACCCGGCGGGGCAACACCGAGGCGGGCTCTGTGGGCAGCGCGGCCCAGGGCAGCCCGCAGCGCCGTGCGGGGAGCCCCGGGGGAAGGCTCATTGTGCAGGGAACAAAAGAAAGATCCTCACCGCAAACGCAGCAGGAGAGGGACTGCCTGAAGTAGGGCAGGAGCTTGTTAATCTCTGTAAAGGACTGGGGATCTCCAGGGTCGTAGTTGAGCACCAGGCGGCTCGCTGAAACGTAGAGAGCAGTGGCATTCACCGGGTTCATCGCAGCCGCTCGCACGCCGCCGGCTCCGGGGTGAGAAGAAGGCGCGGCGCCGAGTCCGTGCGGGCCGCGGGGGCAGGTGGCCCCGGGGCGGGGGCAGGCCGGGTGTCACCTTGGTCCGGGGCCACCTGGAGCCGCGCGGCGGCGGCAGCGCGGAGGCCGCGGCGGCCCGGCGGCCCTGTCAGAGGGGCCGCGCTGGCTCCTCCTCCGCCTCCAGCGGGGCCTCACTCCCGAGCAGCGGCCTCGGCCCGCCCGCAGCCACACAGCGCAGGGAAAGGCGGCGGCGCTACTCCAGACTGCGGGCCATGCCGGGCCGCCTTCCCCGGGGCCCTGCTCCTCTCCGAGCGGACGCTGCCTCAGCGGCGGCCCGGCATGGCGGCGGCCGCAGAGAGGAACCGCGAAGCCAGCTCAGGGCGGCGGCGGGCCGGGCCGCGCTGCCCGCTCCGGCGGCGGGGGAGGGAGGGAGGGAGGGAGGCGGATGCACCTGGGCCTCAGCGCGGCCGCATCACCGCGGCGCTGCCGCGGCCTCCTCCGCGGGGCCGGTGGCTCCTGGCTGCGCGGCCGCCGCTCGCGGGGCCGGACCCGCCGCCTGATCCGCGCCGCAATGTCAATAGCAACCGTTAGGTCCAACCGTCACTGCGGAGCCATCGCCGCTGCCGTCCAGCACCCCGCACTGCGCATGCGCGGCCGGGACGCTGCCCTCCCCGCAGCGGGGGCCCATCCCGCGGGGCGGGGGGGTGGGGAGGGAGTGGTGTAGCGCCCTCTAGCGGGGAGCGGGGCTGCCCTGCCGCCCTCGGCCTGGGAGCGGCGCTGGCCTGAGGGAGCGCGCGCCGCGGCGAGCGGTCGCCCCAACCGCCGCCTCACCCCGCTCCGCTCAGCGGAGGGCGGGCCGCCACCGTCGCTCCCTCGCCAGGCGGGCTGGGTCGGCTGCCGGCAAGGCCCCACCGGCGCGTGTGCTGCCCCCGTGCCCCGGGTGATGAGGCTTATGCCCGCGCTCAGGGCCTCCACCTCACGGGCAGCCGTGCCTCCGGAGCGGCTGGGCGCAGTCACTGCTCCCTGCTCCTGTCATGGCGAATGCCTCCGCTCACCTATCGGGCTGAGGAATCAGGCTCCGCCTCTGCCTTATGTCATCCTGGAACCTGCAGCCAGGCCTGTCAAATAGATCAGGTTTCCGTCTGGGCTTGAGATGCTGGGGTTCCGACTGGCCCCCCCCCTTCCACCTAGCAAGGAGCAAGTCCAGTGTGTATACCTTCAAAGTCAGAGCTGCAGGGCCTGCGAGGTCCTTAGAAGATATGGCACAGGACCTGCAAAACACACCCTTCTCAGATGCGGTCTGGATGCCCCAGTGGACACCACTAGCTGCCTCCACAGGGCTGAGTAGACAGAGGCTTACCACAAGTGTTCTTGCTGCCCATACCATCACTCTGGAGACCCTAACATATAACACAGCAGTGGATCTACAGGTTTTGGCAGGTATGACCAAGATACAGGCACAGGAGGGATTTTTTTTTATCTTCATCGGGTTTTAGGTTACTGGGGACATGTGGAAGGAACTTCTGATATTTCCACTGTAAGCACCACTGCAGCCATTTCACACATCTCCAGTTCCTGTGTTGCAACACAGCCAGTGCCATCAAAGCAGTCCTCTCCGTGCTTGGCCTTTTGGGGAACCATCTGATAGAACCTCTCTTTTTTCCCAGTTGTCCCTCTCTGTGTTCACCTAGAGTTGCCCACATTAAACTAATCATAGGATAGTTAGGGTTGGAAAGGACTTTAAGATCTAGTTCCAACCTCCCTAATGAAGGAGTTCCACCTCTATCTTTTTGTTTGTTGTTCTCTTCATGAATGCCCCCCAGCTTTCCAGCCCAAGTCAAAATGAGTGTGTATACAAAATGAAGGAATTTGGGTCTTGACTACTAATACACGGTTAGCATTGCTGGTCCTCATCAAGCTGTACAGCTCATTCCCCACCTGACACTGTTTTAACATAGCACACATACAGCCCCTGTCTCCTCACTCGGTGCTTTTCTCATATTAATATGCATATTATTAATATTCTCAACATACACCCCCTTGTTCCTTTTGGCCTCACAGCAAACACTCAGTATGCCATCTATGGACCATAACTCCTTGGACATATTGAGTCCCTAACCTGACTTTATTTCATGGTACAGCATCTTCATTCTCCCCCTCAGCCTACATGTATGTTGTCTGTAAAAGGCCCAATTCCTTCTTCAGCTTACTGCCAGAAACACCTGAACCAAGCCAACAAACTGAATTAACATTCAAACAATTTCCCACCAAGCACACATTCTCATGCACACCTCCCTGTATCACACCTTCTGCCAAACTCCAAACAAAGTGTCCTGAACACTCTCATCTCAACCCCTCTCAACTATATCTCACACTGCTCTCTGGCTGTTATGCAAGGAACTGACTTGACACCCAACATCCAAAGAGTTCTAGCAGTCTTGGCTAATTTCTGGGATTTACTCCTCCTGGGTATCATGCACAAGCTGGATTCAACAGTTGCCATCCGTAGTGTTCCAGGAGCAAACCTCAATACCCCATCCACAGCACTATCCTGCACTACTCTCACATTCCCTGATAGAGCTAAATAAGTAGGTTTGGATTCCATCTAAGAAGAACTGCATCTAAATGCTCTAGAACTGCAAGTAAAACTTATTAAAATCTTGAAAACTATGGTAATTTGAAACTGCAAGAATAGCAAGATTGACTAGATCATACTCTTTTGGCCAAAGGAAGCCCATAATGCTTTTTTCCTTCCCACTGTTGCTGGCTGATGTGCTGAATTTGACTTTTCTTCTAGTCAAACCCTTAAGTAGAGGATTCGTGTTTCTAACAGCGCAGTCCAAGAAGGAGATTCAATTTTTTCTACCTCTATTGATTGTGGTCTATCACCATCACTATTCTGGAGAGCGAGTCGTGCTACCCAAACATTTTGGTTTAGGTCCTCAGCTGTTTGAAATCTAGGACAAATAGAGTGGTGAGGCTAAATATGAGAGCACCAAGAAGATCTGCAACCTCTTCCCCCTGCCTTCAGGGGTTTGGCTGACTGCCTGTGCATTAGGCCAGCTCTGATGGGGTGCAGCTGTGTGACCTTGGATCAGACTGCTGAGAACTAGCCTAGACGTGGAAAGTTCATCTAGGCCCTCTCAGCTGTGCCTTAGGAGCTGCCTTTAAGCTGTCTTTTTCTGAACTATACTGCATCTGTTTGTTGACTTCCTGCTTTAACCTTAGACCTGCCTCATTGTTGTGGATGTCTTGCAAGTGGTCATGGGGCTCACCCTTGTTCCTGCTGCTGGACCTTACTGTTCTGCTCTTGTTGTTCAGGTACTGTGGGACTGTATTTGTTGTCAATGTTAATACTGCCTTGCCCACTTTCCTGTGGCTTTCCTGGCTCACCTTCCAAAAGTAGCTACTTTTGCTGCTTTCTGATACTGAAAGTACTGTAGCACAAGTGTTGTCTCTGCTCACCTACTTCTCCAGCCAGTGGTATGTGCTTAATATTGAACAAGCTCTGAAACACTCAAACTATTTCATATGCCCATGGAAGTAACCTTCACTAGCCATCCTCTTTCCTCTGCTGGGAGAGTAGCAGGAAGAAGGGCTTAATGTGTAATTCTTCTTACATGTCCAACTGCTGTGGTTTTATTTCTACTTCTATGTTACATCTTTTACCTCCCTGAACCCATCTGCCTTGGGAGATCATTTTAAGAGACCTGTGTAGGAAGCAAAGACTCTGCTTCTAATTGGTGAAGAAGAGATAGTATTTCCAGAGATCTAGAAGGGGGAGGGTAGAGTGCAAAAGAAAACAGATAGAACATTTATTTAGAAAACTTAATCTAAAGCACTTTAAAAACAAGGGGAGGCAAGAAGTTTTTTTTTATGTTTTCCTGAGAATCAGTTCAATATTTCAAACCTGCTGCTGTTTCAACATACCCAATTCCTTGGTGTTGGACAGCAAACAAGTTCCTTCACTCTACAGGTTACAGACTGCTTCTAAGTTAACTCTTCTAAGTTAATCGCAAACCTATTCCTGTCCTTCAGTAGAGCTACCTGTCTGTCTGACTGACCCTCAGTCATATTGTGGTCATGGATTAATTCAACTGCTTCAAGTCTGAGCTTGTATGCTGATCTTGATTTACATCCCTTCATCTTTTCAATGGAAAATGAATCTGAGTAAGGTTAGAATAGGGATGTTATTCCACTTCCCTGGTCCTGCCAACATTCTACTCATGGCTGCATTTGGAAGAACTAGATATTTCATTCAGATTAGGTTAGAATAGGGTGTCTGAAATCTGCCAAACACAAATATTTTCATTAATGCCCAATGTCCTTGGGTTATATTTTAAGTCCTTGATACTTTACTACAGTGCTTGAATAAAAACAAACAAACAAACCACCAACACACCACCCCCCCACCCCCACCCTCCCCAACCAAAAAAAAACCTACAAACATGTAGATCTTAATGGAAGGTTCTCTGTAAACGTGCCAGATAGAATATGAGGTGATGAAGATGCTCCCTGTATCAGGACAGCCTTTTCTTGTGGAATTGGTGCATCGTAAAATGTGTAATTACTACAGTGCTCCAACTTTAAGGGAAAGTTACCAACTGAGAACACTTTAAAAAAAATACTGGTCACCACATACAGTGCCTTTGAAAAGCTTGCACATTAAGAAACTGGTGGGGTTTGTTGTTTTGTTATGAGATTTGTTTGGGTTTTTTTCCCCTCAGACAATGGCAAACTTACTTCTAATTGTTTGACTTGCTGTATGTTTCCTTCTTTGTCACTGCATTTTGAGTATCATGTCAAGAAAGGCAGGATAAGACTGGAGTGACTGTAACAGTTCTAACAATAGTTACAGATGCTCATGTTTTCTGGGCTAACTTTATTAATGAATTAAAAAACTAACTCGAACACTAATAAATATGAAATCATAGTAGATACAAAAGAAATGAAATGAATACAACCTGCGCCAGTTGTGCAGGGTTTATTTGTAATTCTCCCTGATTTTTTTATTTTTTTTTTTTTCTCTCATAGGGTTTTCCATTTAGCTTTGTAACCCTCAAATGCACAAGGCAGGGGGGGATGACATGGCTTCAGAATCCTGGGGAAACAGAGCATACTAGCATCCCCCAGTCCATTGAGTTTGCCTTATTTTATATCCATGAATGAACTGTAGACTTTCCCATTATTTTTACCCATCTATGTTCAAAAGCATTCTTATGTTATTCCAGAACAGCCACATTTTCTAAAAAGTACTCCAGTTGCTTACTGATCTCTTACTGAGATCTCTCTCTGACGATTGTTGTCCTTGCCTGCAATGCCACATCTGGGGACATCCTATTTTTCCATATTATAGGAGTGGCTGCAATAGCCCTTTCATTCAAGTACATATTCACATATGAAGAAGCCAATTCCTGCTTTTTCATCTGAGTGTATTTTTGCAAGTAGCCTTTCTTGGAGGACAAAAAAGGTGTCTACATCATCAAGCTTGAGACCTGGAGTAGTGCAGTACAATGTGTGTTTTTACTGGTGCAGAGGAGTTCCCTGTTTTAAGCCAGAAAGTTTTCTACACTGTTGTTGAACATTGAAACATACAGTGCTGTACAAACAGTTTTATAACAATGTTTGTTAGGTTCACCAGTTATTTGCAACTGTGTGGAGTTTTCT